AATTTGTAATAATTAATTTTCCTCTTCCGGAATTACATTTACAATTTGTGAAAATTAATTTTCCTCTTCCGGAATTATTTTTACAATTTGTAAAAATTAATTTTCCTCTTCCGGAATTACATTTACAATTTGTAAAAATTAATTTTTCTCTTCCGGAATTATTTTTACAATTTGTAAAAATTAATTTACTCTTCCGGAATTATTTTTACAATTTGTAAAAATTAATTTTCCTATTCCGGAATTACTTCTACAATTTGTAATAATTAATTTTCCTCTTCCGGAATTACTTTTACAATTTGTAAAAATTAATTTTTCTCTTCCGGAATTATTTTTACAATTTGTAAAAATTAATTTACTCTTCCGGAATTATTTTTACAATTTGTAAAAATTAATTTTCCTATTCCGGAATTACTTCTACAATTTGTAATAATTAATTTTCCTCTTCCGGAATTACTTTTACAATTTGTAAAAATTAATTTTTCTCTTCCGGAATTTTTTTACAATTTGTAAAAATTAATTTTCCTCTTCCGGAATTATTTTTACAATTTGTAAAAATTAATTTACTCTTCCGGAATTACATTTACAATTTGTGAAAATTAATTTCCTCTTCCGGAATTATTTTTACAATTTGTAAAAATTAATTTTCCTCTTCCGGAATTATTTTTACAATTTGTAAAAATTAATTTACTCTTCCGGAATTACATTTACAATTTGTAAAAATTAATTTACTCTTCCGGAATTATTTTTACAATTTGTAAAAATTAATTTTCCTATTCCGGAATTACTTCTACAATTTGTAATAATTAATTTTCCTCTTCCGGAATTACTTTTACAATTTGTAAAAATTAATTTTTCTCTTCCGGAATTATTTTTACAATTTGTAAAAATTAATTTACTCTTCCGGAATTATTTTTACAATTTGTAAAAATTAATTTTCCTATTCCGGAATTACTTCTACAATTTGTAATAATTAATTTTCCTCTTCCGGAATTACTTTTACAATTTGTAAAAATTAATTTTTCTCTTCCGGAATTTTTTTACAATTTGTAAAAATTAATTTTCCTCTTCCGGAATTATTTTTACAATTTGTAAAAATTAATTTACTCTTCCGGAATTACATTTACAATTTGTGAAAATTAATTTCCTCTTCCGGAATTATTTTTACAATTTGTAAAAATTAATTTTCCTCTTCCGGAATTATTTTTACAATTTGTAAAAATTAATTTACTCTTCCGGAATTATTTTTACAATTTGTAAAAATTAATTTTCCTATTCCGGAATTACTTCTACAATTTGTAATAATTAATTTTCCTCTTCCGGAATTACTTTTACAATTTGTAAAAATTAATTTTCCTATTCCGGAATTACTTCTACAATTTGTAATAATTAATTTTCCTCTTCCGGAATTACTTTTACAATTTGTAAAAATTAATTTTTCTCTTCCGGAATTTTTTTACAATTTGTAAAAATTAATTTTCCTCTTCCGGAATTATTTTTACAATTTGTAAAAATTAATTTACTCTTCCGGAATTACATTTACAATTTGTGAAATTAATTTCCTCTTCCGGAATTATTTTTACAATTTGTAAAAATTAATTTTCCTCTTCCGGAATTATTTTTACAATTTGTAAAAATTAATTTACTCTTCCGGAATTATTTTTACAATTTGTAAAAATTAATTTTCCTCTTCCGGAATTATTTTTACAATTTGTAAAAATTAATTTTCCTATTCCGGAATTACTTCTACAATTTGTAATAATTAATTTTCCTCTTCCGGAATTACTTTTACAATTTGTAAAAATTAATTTTTCTCTTCCGGAATTATTTTTACAATTTGTAAAAATTAATTTACTCTTCCGGAATTATTTTTACAATTTGTAAAAATTAATTTTCCTATTCCGGAATTACTTCTACAATTTGTAATAATTAATTTTCCTCTTCCGGAATTACTTTTACAATTTGTAAAAATTAATTTTTCTCTTCCGGAATTTTTTTACAATTTGTAAAAATTAATTTTCCTCTTCCGGAATTATTTTTACAATTTGTAAAAATTAATTTACTCTTCCGGAATTACATTTACAATTTGTGAAAATTAATTTCCTCTTCCGGAATTATTTTTACAATTTGTAAAAATTAATTTTCCTCTTCCAGAATTATTTTTACAATTTGTAAAAATTAATTTACTCTTCCGGAATTACATTTACAATTTGTAAAAATTAATTTACTCTTCCGGAATTATTTTTACAATTTGTAAAAATTAATTTTCCTATTCCGGAATTACTTCTACAATTTGTAATAATTAATTTTCCTCTTCCGGAATTACTTTTACAATTTGTAAAAATTAATTTTTCTCTTCCGGAATTATTTTTACAATTTGTAAAAATTAATTTACTCTTCCGGAATTATTTTTACAATTTGTAAAAATTAATTTTCCTATTCCGGAATTACTTCTACAATTTGTAATAATTAATTTTCCTCTTCCGGAATTACTTTTACAATTTGTAAAAATTAATTTCCTCTTCCGGAATTACTTTTACAATTTGTAAAAATTAATTTTTCTCTTCCGGAATTATTTTTACAATTTGTAAAAATTAATTTACTCTTCCGGAATTATTTTTACAATTTGTAAAAATTAATTTTCCTCTTCCGGAATTACTTCTACAATTTGTAATAATTAATTTTCCTCTTCCGGAATTACATTTACAATTTGTGAAAATTAATTTTCCTCTTCCGGAATTATTTTTACAATTTGTAAAAATTAATTTTCCTCTTCCGGAATTACATTTACAATTTGTAAAAATTAATTTTTCTCTTCCGGAATTATTTTTACAATTTGTAAAAATTAATTTACTCTTCCGGAATTATTTTTACAATCTGTAAAAATTAATTTTCCTATTCCGGAATTACTTCTACAATTTGTAATAATTAATTTTCCTCTTCCGGAATTATTTTTACAATTTGTAAAAATTAATTTTCCTCTTCCGGAATTACATTTACAATTTGTAAAAATTAATTTTTCTCTTCCGGAATTATTTTTACAATTTGTAAAAATTAATTTACTCTTCCGGAATTATTTTTACAATTTGTAAAAATTAATTTTCCTATTCCGGAATTACTTCTACAATTTGTAATAATTAATTTTCCTCTTCCGGAATTACTTTTACAATTTGTAAAAATTAATTTTTCTCTTCCGGAATTTTTTTTACAATTTGTAAAAATTAATTTACTCTTCCGGAATTACATTTACAATTTGTGAAAATTAATTTTCCTATTCCGGAATTACTTCTACAATTTGTAATAATTAATTTTCCTATTCCGGAATTACTTCTACAATTTGTAATAATTAATTTTTCTCTTCCGGAATTATTTTTACAATTTGTAAAAATTAATTTTCCTATTCCGGAATTACTTCTACAATTTGTAATAATTAATTTTCCTCTTCCGGAATTACTTTTACAATTTGTAAAAATTAATTTTTCTCTTCCGGAATTATTTTTACAATTTGTAAAAATTAATTTACTCTTCCGGAATTATTTTTACAATTTGTAAAAATTAATTTTCCTATTCCGGAATTACTTCTACAATTTGTAATAATTAATTTTCCTCTTCCGGAATTACTTTTACAATTTGTAAAAATTAATTTTTCTCTTCCGGAATTTTTTTTACAATTTGTAAAAATTAATTTACTCTTCCGGAATTACATTTACAATTTGTGAAAATTAATTTTCCTCTTCCGGAATTATTTTTACGATTTGTAAAAATTAATTATTCTCTTCCGGAATTATTTTTACAATTTGTAAAAATTAATTTTCCTGTTCCGGAATTACTTTAATATCGTAAAATTCCGTTTATAGTCCTGTCCGGACCGCACACTAATATTCAACCTTTAAAGATTCAAAAAAATTTATATACCTTACACATGCCGTCTCTACTACTATAAAAGAATTGAAGATTCGAACGAGGGGGTTTCTCCCCTCTAGCACAATCTCGGCCTTAATTAGAAAAATTTTTTAATCTTTAAAAATTTAATAAACCTTCATCTGGTCTAAGTAAACAAATAGCAGCACTTTCAAATGGATCTTCTTCACTTGGCCTCCAATCTTTTGCTTAAAATAAAATTTTTTTCAATTAAAAATATCCTTTTAAAAATACAATTAATTTTCCTCGCATTTTTTTCATCTCCAATTGCTCCAAGCTTTGATCTTTCAATCCTTAATTGACCAAATTCAACATTGTCATGTCTTGTTGAAGAAGACGAAGAATTTTTACGATGAGTAAAAGATGAAGAAAGAGGTACTCTATTATTAGGACGACGATCAGAAGGATGTGAACCTCTTCCTAATACTTCCCCTGGATTCGGTGGTCTTCTTCCAAAATGTGGAGCTAATGCTTCATTCAGATTTGAGGAGGAAGAACTATCTAATTTTGCACCCTGTGCTTGTAATGGGCAACAAAAACGAGCTAAAATAATATCAAAATAAAATATCAATGGAAAAAATTTAAAAAAATCGAAACTCAAAAATTGGAAAAAAACAAAAAATTCGAAATCCTACAAGTTCAAATTAAAAGAAAAAACTAACTATTACTGTCAGGATCAATAGAACAATAAAATCCATATTCACAATGTGCTTGTCCATCAATATCCAAACCAGCTCCACAACTTATAATTTCGCCACTAGTTTCATTACGCAAAGGATCTGAACCGTCTGAACACAACATTAAATGAACATTTAATTCTGCTATATTTTGATTCTTTAAATGTAAATTTTCTTCTGTGAGTGCTGGTTTAACCTTAGAAAATATTTTAATAAAAAACAAAAATTTAGAAAAACACCAACTTCTAGCATTTGTTCAGTATTTACATTTTGTTGAGGTTTTCGACGAATTTCACTTTTTTCATATTTTGTTGGACAACAAACACTTGGAGGACCTAGAAAAGAATTTTTTGTTCCTACTTTTAAATTTTCTTAATTTAATAAGAAAACGCGCCGTAGACGCCTTTATAAATTTAATAAAACCTCACCAGGAACACACAAATAACCTGTTGGACATCCAATAGAATCAAAATGTTCACCACATAGCACAGGATTACGACCTCCTAACGGCAAATTTCCACCTGGACAAACTCCTGGACGCTTTTGAGAAAATGAATTTTGTTGTTCTTTTGAAGATTCCGGTCCTAAAAGATCCAAAAAATATTACAAAAAATTTTATTAAAAAAATAAACCTCCTTTCTTACAAATCCTTTCACAGTCAATTAATGTATCAAATTTATTTTCATTTCCTCCACATCCAGTAAAATAAAAAGTTCTGCAACGATCACTTTCAGAATCATAAAAATAACGTTGTAAAGCCTCTCCACAATTTCCTTTATTTAAAGGTTGAGAACAAATTGATGGATTTGTTGTTGCTGTTGATCCTTTCCCATTTCCACCATGAAAACGTGATTGTCTTTGAATTGGGCCTGGTGGGGATTTATCTAATAGAAGAAAAATTTTTTTGATTATAAAACAAAAAAACCATCAAATCTAAGCGATTCAGTCAACACTAAAGATGAAGACGGTCCATTTTCTTTATCATTTTGACGGCGAACACGAAGAGATGATTGTTGCTGTTGATTGTTGCCTCCTGCTTTATATCCATGCTATAAAAAATTCCTTTGAATTTTTAAAATAAATTCTAAAAAACCTTCAATTCTTCCCCATCATATCCACCAAATATGTGTTGATCATATGGATCTAAAATAAATTGAAAAATTAAAACAAGCTCAAAAAGTTTTTTTTAATTTTTACTCACCATCTTCATTAGGGCAGCAGAAGTAGTCAATACCATTAAAATAGCAAACTGATTTTTCTGGACATTGTCCCATCCCAGGAAGGCAAAGAACTGGGCGACCTAAAAAAATTTATAAATTTAAAAAGAAAAACAAAAAAGCCAACCATCACTATAAAGCATTGTGTTTAGTCCATTCGGGCAAATAGGGACACCATTAGCTATTGTTCCACCAACAGATTTTGAAAAAGAGAAGAGTGGAGAATCTTTGTCGTCTTTTTGATAAAAAAGAATTAAAAATAAAAAAAATCTCAAATTTTACTTTTATCATCATTAAATTGTGTAGGTAACATGTTCTTATTTGCACTGTTTTGCTCAGGTATATGTTGAGGCAAACCATTAACAACATTAAGAGGTTGAGGAGCAGGATTATTATTATTGTCAACTGTAAAAAATATAAAATATGACCATTGCAATGCCAAACCGCCGAAATACCAAACTCATAAAAGCCGTCAAAGAAAGATTGGTATTTCGACAGCTTTTGGGGGTTTTGGTATTCTCGCCAAAATAACTTTAAAAAACTAACGTCTTATCCCATTAGGATAATCAATTACTGCTGGCATAGATGGTCCAATAAGTGGTAAATCTGGAACCTTTTGCGGTTCTTTAGGCAATAAAACAGCCGAATATCCATCATGATTATTTGCATTTCCACGTCTAGTTGCTTGAGAACTTGTAGTGGAATGTTCAAAGTTTGATTCAGGTTCATTTGTTTCGGCCATTAAATTTAAAGAATCAGTTGTTGGTTCAACATCTGTTGATTTTTCAACAACTCCATCACTTCTAGAAAAAAAAATCAAGAATTATTATAAATTATTAATTAAAAAACATTGCATGGAAGGGTGCAGGTATTCCAACATCACCAATTTCATTTTGAGTATTTGCTGTTTTTGCTCCAAATTGATTAAAATTATTATCCACTCCTCCTCTCATTCTCCTAAAAAAGAATTTTATTTTTATTATAATGTAAATGCTCTAATTAAAGCCCTGGGTTCTATCTTTCACTATGTCTCTTTAACTGTGGTTATATTAGAGATGGGCTTCTATTAGAGAGCGGGCTTATTTAGAGCATTAAAAAAATAAAATTCTTTTTACTAACCCTGCAGGTGGCGGAATATTTAATTGAGACAAATCATCCGGTTCTTTAAGCCTCTTCTTCTCATTAGTTTGTTGTTCACAAATAGATCTACATTCTGATTCTGTATCAAAACGATTAGCATTTCCATCATTTCCTTGCCAAATAAATTGTTCACATCTTTAAGTTATAGACAAAAAAATCTTCAAAAATAGATTTTGAAAAGTAACCTCAAATTCCGAACATTAAAATACCAATGGACATTATACCCTGTACCAGTTCCTTCATCACGATCCAAAATGCATCGATCGTTGAGGCGGACTTTCTAAAAATTTTTTCCGATTTTTTTAAAGTTAAAAAATCAGCATACTTGTGGAATATCCAAACAAACGGCTTCACATTGTGATTTATCTGGGAAGTTGTTCAAATTTCCTCGGCAAGAACCATAAGAAAATTGTTCACAAATACCATTCTCTGGATTAAAGAACCTTAAAAATAGAAGAAAAATAAATCAAATTAAGAAAAAATAAAACCATCTCAAAACAAAAGAAGTACACGGTCCTGCAACTGGAGGTAATGAACATATTTCATTTTTATTTTGAATATGAGGAATAATCATATGTTGAACAGGTGGAAGTGGGCGTTGAAGTTGTTGTTGTTTTGGACGAGAATTAATTGAAGTTTGAGGAGAAAGACGAAGAGGAATTTCTGTGGTAATTTCAGATGTTGTTTGTAGCTCTTCTTGAGTTTCAGGAGATAATGTAGAAGATTGAGAAGAAAATTCATTAACAGAATCAATTGGAAGTTCAGATTGAGTATCACCTTTAAATTTAAAAAAGAAAATAAGGAAGAAAAGGAAAGAATTAGGGTTAGTGCCGAAAATTTTCAGTGAATTGTGTGCTTAAGTGAAATGTGTTTAAGTGCTAAACGAAAAAAGTGAAAAAAAAAACAAAAGAATTTATGAAAAAACCTCAAAAAACCTTGGAAAAATTTTTAGAAATTTTTTTTTATATTTTTCAAACCCATGCTATCATTTATTTTGTTGTTCAATGGCGCTCTTGAATCTTCAATTTCTACTTCTGGTAAAGCTTTTAGCTGTTGTTCTTCTTCTTTGACCTTCTCTTCTTGAGAAATAATTGGCAATTGTTGACGTTCATTATTCGAGATGACTGGATGATTAGCCTTTACAATAAAAAAAATTTAATTAACAGAATGATTCAAAGTAACCCCATCTGCTGTATTTTCTCCTTGTTGCTCCTCATGTTTTTGCTCTTCTCCTAAATTGCTTGATTCAAGAGGAATTTGTTGTTGTTCTTGTTTAATATGTTGATCAGTAAAAAGACTGGGAATTTTTTCCTCTTCATGTTCAGGAAGAGGCTGAGGATTTTTTCTTTCTGAAGGAACTTGCTCCTTTCTATCGCTTTCTTCCAAGGATGGAACCGATTGGCTTGAAGGTTCTAAGGCTAAAGGCTCAGCTTCATTAGACACAAGTCCTTGCGAACGCTTCTCTTCTTTTTCCTCTTCTTCTTCACGATTTTTAAATTTTCTTCCCTTTCCTCCTTCACCTTCTCGCATTTCTGCCCAAATCAAATCATCATCTGTTACCTCAGTTTTAGAAATTGTTGTCCTTCCTTCCTCCTCTTGCTCTTCTAAACGCTCTTCTCCACTAATTAATGCATTATTTGATTCTTGAGTTACAGCAGCAACATTATTTATTTTATCTTCATTATTGTTAGATTCTGAACTTTTTTCAATTGAAAGTTTAATTGTTTGTAATTTTGGAATTTTTGGTATTGTACTAGTAGTTGGCAAAATTTTTGTTTGAGTTGTTGGTGTTGATAAATCTGCTTCCAAATTTTCAGTTAACGAGGGTTGATTGCCCTCCTCTGGCTCAACCTTTTCTTCAATTTTTTGTTCTTCCTTACGTTCTTCTTCTTCCCTATTTTCTTCTTTTACTTCTATTTTCCTCTCTTCAATTTCTTTTCTTCGCTCATCCTCTTCTTTATTTTCCAAAATAGCAGAAGAATAAGTTGATTCAATTTCTGGCAATTGAGTTGAAAGGATGGACTGGTCTTCCCTATTTTTATTTTCAATTTTGTTCAATGGAATTTGGAAAGAATGAACAGGAGAAAGTTTTGTTTGACGAGTTTTATCAACTAATTTAGTGCCTTGTATAAGCTGAGAAGGAAGAATATTTTTTGAAATGCTAGGTGCAGTTTCCAAATTTGTTAGTGTATCAGTGCTTTCAACTAAGAGAAAAATTTGTGTTAAAAATAAAGTGAAAGTGCTTAATATTAAAATTAAAAAATTTTTCTGTGCAGTTTCCCTCCCTTTCTTACCATTTTTATTATTTTCAGCAGTTTCTAGTAAGATTAAAGGAATTGAAGTTGTTTGTTGTTGTTGTTCAACACGACGACCAGCTGTTGTTCTAATTGGAATATTCTGCTTTTCTTTGAATACTTCTTGTCCTTCTTGTCTTCTATCTAGACCACCTTCTGTAACTGCTAATAATTCATTTTGTATTGGTGCTTCAGGTACTATACGGCTTTTTAAAAGAACTCGAGAATCAATTGGAGGGAGAGTTGGAATTGTATAGGTTGTCAAAACTTCTTCAAGTTGACGGTTTCTTTCCTCATCTTCTATCAACCTTTCATTGCTTAAGTCCTTGTCTTCATTTTGTTTTTCAATTGATAATTTATTTGAAATTTTTGGATGTTCTTCCTCTATTTTTATTGTAGTGGAAATCTGATTAATTGATGAATCAGAAGAAGCGCTAGGTTTGTTAGAAGTCGTAGATTGAACTGTTGTGGTTGTGGTGCTTGTGGAAGGTGGATCTTGGGAGATACTTGTCTCAACATTTTCCGGGGTAAGTAAAAGAAGACCATCATCAGAAGTTGATGATGTTAGTGTTCCTAAAAAATTTTAAGGTGGAAAAAGTGCAGCGTGAAAAATTGCTCTTTGGAAACTAAATTTTTTTTTGGAAAACCAAAAAATTATTGTGATTTAAATGAGTGCAAGTGTGTGTGATTATGATAAAATAACAAATTTTTTTTACTTGAAAATCGAGCACAATATATTTGACATTCCTTCTTCGAGAAAAAGTGATTTCGATTTCCTGCACATCCACTATAAAATTTAAAGTTTAGAAAATTTTCTTTTAAAATTATTTAAACAAACGTGTAGCTGAAAGATTCACATTGTCCACTTTCTGAACTAAAATACCAACGTTGAACAAAACGAGAACATGCAGATGCACCAATATCCTTAAAAAAATAAAATAATTTTAAAAAATTTTCAAAAATAAACCAATGGTTGTGTACAAATTTCATTATGGCCAAAAGGCAAAGGTTCTGGTGTAGCTGGTTGAGAAATAACTGCTTCAGCAAGAGTTTGAGGCAATTTCTTTGACAACACTGGTTGTGAACGAGAAGAGGATAATGGTAATTCAGTTGTTGTTGTTGGTGGAGGTAAAGGTTCCAAAGCTTTATTAAATGGAACACCTCCTAAAAAATAAAATTCAAAAAATCAAAAAAGAAAAAAACCGATTATTGCAGGTCTTGGCGGCTGTATAGCTGGTGGAGCTGGAGGAGAGACCGTTGAAGAAGGCACAAATGAAGAAAATGATGCAGGAGGAAGAGGTGAAGCTGAAGATAATTCTAAAGGACGTTGTTGCTGTCGGTTGTTAATCTGTGGAACTGAAACAGTTTGAATTGCCGGTGGTGATGGAGATTCTTGAATGGAAACCGGAGCAGGAGGAGATTCATGAAACGAATTAGTCGGTGGAGTAATTATTGGACAAACACATTCACGGCATCCACGACGATTTAAAAAGCTTTAAAAAATAATAAATTTTAATTAAAAAATAAAATTTAAAAAAAACATGATGCACGGCTCCTGACACAATTTAACATCCAATTGCGGACAAGTATTTTTATGTGGTTCAACTGCTGGAGGAGCCAATGGTGGAACAGAAGGAATTATTGGCGAATGTCTTGGAGGTGGACAACTACAGAGCGAACATCCTTTTGAATCTTTAACAAGTTGACAACGTCCACTTGTGTCACATTCAGGTTCTGGTGGGCAAATATGACGAACACAAGCTGCACGACAATCATCAATTGAAGCGAAATTGTTTCCTTAAATAAGAGCCTTATTTTAAAAATAAAAATTTTAAAGAACCATTTCCACCACATCCTCCATAAACAAATCTTGTACATCGATTTGCTAATGTTTCATAACCAAAACGGTGAAAAGTACCAGAACAGGTACCCTTAAAAATAAAATTATTTAAAATTTTTTAAAATAATTTTAAAAAACCGGATCAATTCGATGTTCACAAATATTTGGGCTGAGAGGCTCTAAAAAATAATTTAAAATTTTCTCAATTTTTATTAAAATAAAAATAAATTTTGTTAAATTCCTTGCCTTTAATTTCGTCTTTACCTTCAGGTTCATCGAGGCATTTACTCCGACATTCGAGCAATGAGGCAAAATTGTTGCCATTTCCCTCACATCCACCTGTAAAAATAAAAATCTAATAATTATACAAATTCGAAATCGGGAAAGGAAAGAAGAAAAAACTTTTATTTTTCAAACCAAAAGATCAATGAAAAGGAAAGAAGCAATCAAATGTTGACATTTTGGCTGCTTCAGATCTCCATTCTAGGCACAATCCAAAATATCAACACTAACACATCCCTTTCCTACCGGTGATCTTTTGGATTGGAAGAGGAGAAAAAGCACCGCAAAAATGTACCGCTTTTCCCTCCTCTCCAGTAATCTTTTAGAAAAAGTGGAAATCTAGAAAAATATTTAAAATCCCCAAACCGTATTGAAATTGTCTACACTGAGCTGTTCTTCTATCAAATCCATATCTCATAAAAATTCCACCACAACTTCCTGGATCTATATCAACATCACAAGCACTTTTTTCATCATTTGAAGTGTCTACTGTTGTTAATTCCTCACGGCAAATATTTAAGCATTCCTCACCTTTAAGTGCAAAATTTTTTTTTGAAAATTTCGAAAATAAACTAACGGCTGGCAAAATTATTTCCATTTCCTCCACAACCACTATATGTAAATGTTTCACAATTGTTTAATTCAGAATTCCAAAACCAACGAACAAACTGTGCTGCGCAAATTCCCACATCTAGAAAAATTATAAAATGTTTCTCTGAAAATTTATTCTCGAACCTTTTGGATGTTGACATTTATTAACATCAAGTAAAGGTGTAATTTGTTGTTTTCTTTCGGGTAGTAAGGGAGAAAATACGTTTTGTTTGTCAGTTTCAGGTTGGAAAGTAATTACAGGCAATTGTGGTGTTTCTGGTTCTATAGGAAATGGAGGAGGTAGAGTAGTTCTGAAAAAAAATTAATTTTTAGTATAACCGCGTAATGCCCAAAAAACGACGTAATATCAAACCCACAAAAGCTGTCGAAATAACAAAAAAAAGATTTGCATTTCGCAGATTTTTGGCGTTGGTGTGAATTTTTATAGTTTTTTTAAAATTTTTATTAAAATATTAACCTGCTAGAAAACGGTGGCAATCTTCCTTCCGTAGCAATATTTTTTCCATTTTCTAAAATTAATTTTGAAGCTGTTGTTGTTTGTATAGGAGGCAAAGAGGAAGAGATTGGAACAAAACTATTCGTCTGTTGTGAAATTGGCTGTTGAATTTTCTCTTTGGATAAACACGCCTTTTCACAATCCTCAACTCGCGCAAAATTGTTCTATGGGAAAAAATAAAAATTAAAAAAAATTTGAAAAAACCGAATTTCCTTCACATCCTCCATAAAAGAAATATTTACATTCACCCAAATCTTTATTAAAATAAAAACGCATTTGGTATTCTAAAAATTTTGAAAAAAAAATTTTTTAGACAAAAAATTTAATTAAAAAACTAACGATCACAAGGGCCTCTATCTTTGGGTAAAGAACAGATATTCTCAGATTTTTCAGATTTTTCAGTTTCAGGTAATGCAAGAGGTGAAGCTTCCAAAACTTTTATTGTTGTAGATGTTCCATCCAAAACTGGCAACTGTTCTCGACTTGGTTCTTTTTGTAAAATTAATTGACAACAAATTGAAGAGTGACAAGAGAAACTTGGAGGGCTAAAAAATTTTTTTAATTTTATTTTACTGTTACATAATCCTGAATCACCCAAACCGGATCCAAATCCAAAATCTGGTATAACAAATTTTCCTAATTCGGATCTAGACTTGAGTCTGACTTAATCCGGGTTTGGGAACCAGAGACAAGAAAAATCCTGCCGGATTTTCGTTTAATAAAATACCGGAATCAAAGAATATAAAACCAATTAAACCAACTTTTATTTATCTTAAAAAACTTGTCGGACACTCCTCCTTATCAAAAAATTTTTGATTGCTTTATACTTATAAAATTTAAACATAAAAAATATTTTTCTTTAAAGCTCACCAGCTAGCATTAGAACAATCAACCAAAAGTCCTTGCGCATCTTTTAAGGGTAATTGACCTCCTGGACATTTCTTTGATGAACTTAAACAACGTTGCTCGCTAGAAAAATTTTTTTTGAAAATTTTAAAATTATTTAGTAAAAAAGGAAAAACCATTCCAAACGGCTTCCAAATTTATTTCCATTCCCACCACATCCAGAATAATTAAATTGACTACAATGTCCATTAGCCACATTAAAATTCCAATAAATTAAGTTTGAAGTACAAGGGCCCGGTTCTGGTAAACTTGTACAATCCTGAACTAGAACAGGTTGTGCAGAAGAAATTCCTTTTAGAAAAAAATTAAAAAAAATTTTTCAAAAAATTTTACTTTCACAATCCGATTTACGATCCTTTGAACGTGAATGTTTCAATTCAACACCATTTTTATCCACACAAAAACATTCATTTTCAGTTGGCATACATTGTAAAGAGACATATTGACCATCTATTGTACATTCAGGCACATAAGTTGCTGCTGTTGTTCCCTTTTCTGCTGCATTAGCTCGTTTACGTTGACATTCTTTAAAAAAATTTTTTTGTAATTTCAACCAAGTTTCTCACCAGTTTTAGGAACCACTGTTGTCGGCGCCTCTGTTTTTGGAGCATCCGTTGTTGTTGTCCCTCTTGTTGAAATCGTAGGGAAAGAGATTGTTGTAGTTGTATCAGCGCCAACAGGACCAGCAGTCGCATAGGTGACCTGACAAATAGATAGCCTTAATAATCCAAGCAAAAAAAGCTCCAAAAATCCCCCCCTATTCAACAGTTAAAATCCCATTTCCTGTCATTAACAATTTTCAAATCAATTAGTCCACCCAAATATCCACAAAACTAACGCACATTACTCACCTCCTTTCCAACGCCGCCATTCTTTGTACATGCATCCTCGCATTCTTCTTTATAACGAAAAAGACGTGGTTCACTTTCATCATTAACGCAATGACCTACAAAAATTTTTATATTTTATAAATGAAACTAAAGAGACAAAAATAAAAATGTTATACATAATAGAAGCCTTGGGCTTGTATTTTTCAAAGGTCTCATTGAGTGGGCTCCTAATAGGGCACGTGTTTCTACTGAAGCCGGGCTTTTATTGGAACATTTACGGTAAATATAATTACCATAAGGATAACTAATGCATTCTCCATTACGTAAATAATAACGTAACACAAATTGTGATCTCATCTGAACTCCATTTTGTCCTGGAGGGCATCGACCTCTAAAAGGTTGACGTCTGCATGGATCCAATGTTGTTTGAGGTGAATCTGAAAAAAGCCATTTTTTGGAGAATAAAATCAGTTTAAAAATTAAAATTTAGGAGAGGAACACACACCTGTTTCAGGCTGAGAAGCAAGGGCCAAAAATATTAAAGGGAAAAAGTGGAATAATTTAAAAATGTAAATCATCGACTAAAAAAATTCTTTTTCGCGCTTATTGAAAAAGGATTGAAAGAATAATTTGGAAGGCTTAAAAGAAAAATATGTAGTTAGTGGATGAACGAATTTAGCAGGCACAAATAAAAAAGGAGGTTTAGTGATGGTTGTTATGCAGCTCCTTTACAGCAAACATAAAACACACAGAACAGAAAATTCTTTCTCCCAAAACCAAAAACGATTTTCAACCAAAAACGATTTTGGCGAATTTGGGATATAAAGGAGCGGCAAAAATGGATATTATTAGAAAAGCAAGAAAAAAGGAGAGAAAGGAAATGACAATAAAGGGATCGAAACTATATGATGATGGATTTGCCCGCCTCTTCTAGTATCTCTTATAAAGCGAAGGATCGCTCGGTTTTTCTTGTAAATAATTGGAAAACGGCGCGAAAACCCCCTTCCCCATTTCATTCTCCCCCCAGTGCAAGCATGCATACTGACCCATAAAATTTTGGGAGGAGTGGCACACAGGAAAAAAATTTTTTTGGTTTGTTATTTTTGGTTTAGAAAAATGTACATGTTTGTTTTTGAACCCTACTTTGATTTTCCTTTCACAAAATCAAAAAAAATTTTTTGTTAATTTATAAACAGACAATTTTTAAAAAATTTCTACATAGTTTCTAGCTCTAATTTTTAATTTTGTTTACCTAATCTCAAAAACAAAGCCCCCTTCCAATTCCCTTAAAATCTCTTTCCTATTTATCCTAATCTTTTCCGCAGCACATTCCTGCCCTTCCAATTAAAAGAATTCTTATTTTTATAGATGGCCTCCAATGATTTGGAGGAGTTCGAGACAGCAAGTACCCAAAATTGGTTCAAGGTCAAAAACGAGCAGATATCAAAAACAAAGAACCCTTGTTTATAAAATCCAAAAGTAATCTCCCCATTTTCTCAAATAGTTGAACTTTAATTTCGGGGACCATTTACACATACGGAAACCTTGAGACTAACGTTGACGGATCCAAATCCGAAAAAGGACGGACCTCCGGGAATCTTCAATTCGGCTGTCGGATATCCGAAGATTCCCGAGATCCATTAACTTTAATTGCGAAATTACAATTTCTTACAAATCAACTCACCCAATTATCCTCCACATTTTTTTTCATTTCCAAATTCCAAGCCACCACGCAAATTTATGCCATAAACAAATCAGAAATTGAACATGTCAGCTCTAAAAATTTTTTAAAATTTAAAAATTAGTATAAAGCTAAAATCATAAAAGTCCAAAAAAAGATAAAAGAGATGCCAAAAACCAATGCTTTATTAATTTTAATATCAAAAAACAAATATATACGAAAACTTGAATATTTTTTAAAAAGAAAATTATCAAAATTGAATCAAAAAGAATGTGTGTATTTAAAAAAAATATAAAAATGATTGTTTAAAAAAGTACGATTTTTTTCTTTATGAATTTTCAAAAAAAGGAGGATGAAATTTTAAGTAATAGCTCCTGGGAAAAAATAGAAGAGTATAAATTAGATAGATAATTCTACAAATTAATATCCCCCCGAATTTCAATCAAGAAATTAAGCCAAAAAAAAATTTGAGTAAAACGATTGATAAAGGAAAAGAAATTTTCAAGAATCAAAATTCCAATAATCAAAATATGTAAATAATAATTAAAAGGTATTGAGATCAGAGGTATTCAGGTCAAATAAGGAGATTCAAAGAATCCGCCCAAAATTTCATCCCCATTTTTAAGCCAAATATAATATTTTTTTGATTAGATAAGATATTTGAAAAAAATCCTTAAAAAATATATTACTTAACGACGATGATTTAAAAAAATGAAAAATAAAAACTTGCAATCTTACAAATAGAAAAAAAGCTTAAATATTTTTTTTTGTTTTTTTTCTCCCAATAACAAGCAATTATCATAAATATATATACGTTAATATTAATTAAGATCAGAACAAACAAAATATAATATTGTAGTTGCCAGAATAATACGTAGGATATAGCAAAATATTTAAATGATTTTTTAAAGAATTGGAACAAAAAAATATTTTTAGAAGAGAAAATGATTCTAAAAAATTTCCCAAAAAATCTCAAAAATTTTTCCAAAGAAATTTCACAAAAAAATTTTCCAAAAAATTATTCAAAAAATTTTTCTAGTTTTTTGCTCCAGAACTAAAAAACCGAAAATTTCCTCTCAAAATCCCCCACAGACAGATGTATTTTTTTGATTGTAGAATAAATGAATGATTGATGTTTTTTGATGAATAAAAGAATAATATAGAAAAAATAATAATTCTCTCTCTCAACGATTTCCGGCAAGAGAGCGACGTTGTTGTTCTTGATTTATAACTTTTTCTATCATCAGACGGCCGTTAACAATACTATTATTGTCGCCAGTTAAACTGTGAATAAGAAATGAAAAAAAAGCTCGAAAAGAACTTGAAAAAATGAATTTAGAAAAAAGATTTAGATTAGAAAAATGCTGATGTGAATTATGAATGAATCATAACCCCATAGATTTTTTAAAAAATTAACAAAAAATAATAACCTTACAAGACGACCACCTGGACTTGTTGTTGCTGATCCACGTTTATGACTATAAAAAATAAGAGCAAATGTAAGATTGCCAAAAGAAAATAAAAACATACACTTCAATTTTAGCACCAGAAAGTTGTTGTATTTCAATCAATGTTTTTGCTCGAGGACCCAAAACAGCACCAATAATATTATCGGGAACCTAAACGGAAAAATATAAAGGAATAACCCCAAAAGGTTAAACTATAAAATACAACAAAAAAAGACTGAAAACCTCAAGTTCAACACGTCCATCTTCCAAAATACGCTCCTTTATTAGAGAATTTGCAAAAGCATTAGAAACAACACCGCCCGATTTTTTCTGACTCATAACATCAATTAATACACCTCCAGCGCCACCAATACTCTAAAGTTCACGTAAATTGTACAAGTATAAACACAACAAAACCTGATCCAAAGAGTTGTTATGTGCATCCATAAGAGAATTTCCAGTCATCATATTAGCATTCTGTGGGTGTGACATAACATCATAACGTTGCTGTTGCATTGAAGCATTTTGAACACCAATTAAAGCATTTTGTTGTTGAACAGCAGCGTTTTCACTATTTCGCATCTGAGCCATTGCAGCAACACCTAGGCCCAAGCCAAGTCCCTTAAAGAAGTTAAATAAGGTTAATATAGTAGATACAAATAGGAGATGCCACAGGTTATCCGGCATGATACCTGAGCTTTTCTCCCTTATATACGAACAAAGACCCAACATTTTTTCAACTAATTCCACTAACTGCCAGAACCGGAACCCAATTCGGAGAAAATTTTGAAGCACCTATCTTTCAACCCGTGAAATCCCCGTTATAAAAATAAAATCAAAAACAAACCATAATATTATATTTGGCAAGCACTTGCATAGCCTGCATTACTTCACTAACGCTTTGATCATTAAAACCAGAAGAACGCAAAGTTGATTGTAAATTGTCCAAAAATGCCAATAACTCATTATTTCCAGTCCCTTGTAAAGGATTGAATTTAATAGAATTTGAATTGAATTGGTTGCCAAGTTTTTGATCTTTAAAAAAATTTTTAGGAAAGAAAAGATTCTTTTTTACCAATCGAAGTCTGATTTTGCCAAGCTGGAGTTGATTGCATTCCAGCAAATTGAGATGCTCCTGTAGTAACACGACTAGTAGCAAAATCATATCCAGAACTTACCTATAAATTTAAAAAAAGATAATTAAAATGTTTAGTTATTAAACTCTCCAAGACTAAAAATTTTACAAGACTCAAGACAAGACCTTACATCCCAAACTTAAACACAAGACCAAGACGGGACCTCAAAACAAACCCGACCAAGACTGAACCCCAAGAACAAGATTTGACCTCACAAAACCAAAACCCTCCAAGAACATAATCTTGGGTAGCTCTATAGGTTATTTACGTTCACATTTTTAAAATCTTACATTTTGAGATTCAGACGTAATTGGTTGCGAATGTAAAGGATCAGCACAAACTCTTTCTAAAACTTTTTGCATTGCACTCATCAAAACGTCATTAGTTTCATGTCCAATTGTTATTACACGTTCTAAAGACATTTTAGCTTCTTCAGTCCCAGCTTTTGGGTAAATTTGAATATTTGCTGTTGTAGTTTCTCTAATTTCTTTAATGCTTGTCCCATTTTTACCAATCACCATTCCAGCAGAAGTATTGGGAACAATAAATTTCATCTGATATAAAAATCGGTAAGGGTCATTCTAACCCAATTTTTGCGAACATATTTTACGGTCTCATAGTGGTTAGAAAAAAAGCATAAAAGTAAAATCATTCAAAATCTCATTAGTTTCCCCAAGGAAGCACCCCTTCCTCAAATACAATTTTTTATTGAATGAGGGAAAGTATGGATGCTTTGGTCTGCATAAGTGTTCGAAAAACGGTTTGGGATAACGCAACAAATACAAAATTCATTTTAGAATTTGAAAAAAAAATGCAAAAGAAAAACAAACCTCATTAGTTCTTTGCAAGCCTTTAAGATCAAAAGGATCAGAGGGATGATGCCCTTCAACCTTTTCTTGAATTTTCTCCAGAATGGCACCCATAACAATCATTGCTGAAGAAATCTTTCCTTTAACAAAACATATTCGCTCTGTGGTCCCATGATAAAATTCCTGATTCTTAGACATTTGAACTCGACAGCCAGTGTCATTCTTTAAGTTTCGCATTGTCTCACCGCCCTTACCTTAAAATAAAATCGATTTACTAATAGAGGATGGTTCGAGGTATCCGAGAACGAAAAAGTTCGGCATTAGGAAATGTTCAGTTCGAATATGGTTCGGTTCCAGATATATATAAGCTATTTAAAAAAGATTCTTACCAATTAGCGCTCCTACAGCAGCAGAAGGAATTAAGACCTTTATTTGGACTGTATCTAAAAATAAAAGAATAAAACCTTCAAAAAACAAAAACAAACCAGATTCTGAAACATTTGCTTTCTTCGAAGCAGGTCCACCATTTTCATTATTTTGTCTCTTTTGTCCAATCTGAATGTTAATTTCACTGTCATCTGGTTTATATTCTTCGGACATTATTATTTTTATTTGATGTAGTTAAGTAGACTTTCGAAGAAAATAAATCCAATTAGAACAAATTCTCAAAAACAAATCCTGAAAATGGAAAAAGCTATGGGATAAAAACGGTATAAGGAAGCCGAGAAAGTGAGGAAGCTGTGAGAAAATGAGGGAAAATCGATATTCAGCGAAAAGAAAATTTAGCGAAATGAAACGTCATTGTGTCGAATTGTCACAGAAATCATTTGGTCATTTGTTGAAAATGGTAAACGACAATTGGTCGTTTTTTAAAAATGGTAAACGACAATTAGTCGTTTTTTAAAAATGGTAAACAACATTTGGTCGTTTTTTGAAAATGGTAAACGACATTTGGTCGTTTTTTGAAAATGGTCAAAATTGCCAAAAATTGACCGAAGTGGTCAAACACAAGCGCGGAAAAATAAAAAAATGAGATTAAATTAAATAGGTATGAAATGTCAAAAACAATCTTGATATAAACAAATAAAAAGAAATTAAAAATTTATTGAGAAGAAAAACGATATTTGAATTAAATTATTGATCAAGATGAGTAAGAGAATGTTCAAATAATTCATCTAATGAGATATATACACTCGAGCATTGTGAACAAATAAAATTATTGAATCTAATAAAATTTATATAGAATTTCTAGCAAGGGAACAACGGTTACAGTGTACGAAAATTCTGTATTTTTGGAGCATTCGAACCCCCGATTTCCTATCACAAAGTGATATCCCTTGCCAGATGACTTTGGGTCGAGTTATTCTTGCCATTCAACGTCGGACCGCTAGTCAGAAAATTAGAGTAAATGAGCAAAGTAACCGATTGTTCCCTTGTGAGCCTAGATATAATACCCTCCCACCCCTCCCCATTCTCAAATAAAAATATTACCTTGACTTCAAGTCCATAAAAGGATATTTTTTCGAAAATCTTTAAAATAAAAGTTTAATCTTATCAAAAAAAATAAAAAAAAAACCTTGTCTTTGAAAGATTCCAGGCTGTAAATGGATGATACATCAACACGTGAATTCCATCCAATATATCTTTAGTAACATCTACTTCACTAATAAATTCCATAACAAAATCACCACATCTATTACAATACATTTTTACAGCTTTTTTTCTGTCATTTTGTTCATCTTCTTCAAATCTTCAAAAAAATTTTTTTTGAAAAAATTTCTTAAATTTCAAAAAAAAATTTTTAAAAATTTTTTTAGAAAATTTAAAAAAATTTTCAAAAATTTTTTAAAAATTTTCTTTTGAAAAATAAACCTCAAAAAGCTTCTACCCTTTTTCCTTCGAAACATTAACATAGCGATACATTGTCTCATCTTCATAAACGGGTTGTGTAAAATCAATCATTGAAAAAGTACATTTATCACATTCCAAAAGTAATTGACACAAATCTTTTGGATAAATTAGAGCCATTTTTCTTTTCCTTAAACAACAAATTATTAGTTTGGGGCGCCAGCACGCTATAATACCAAACCTACCAAAAGGCGTCGAAATGCCAAACTTTGGTAATTTGGGCAAATCATTGGAAAGGGTTGTTTCAGAACCTAGAAGGTTGTTAGCAGTTCACATTTTAATAATTCAGTGTCTTTTAGGAGGTTTGGTATTTCGCGCTTTGGTATTATGGCGTCGTTATGTCTAGGGCAAAAATTAAAAAAAAAAAACTAAAAATATTTTTCCTTGAAAACGAAATCATTCAAAAATAATCAAAAAAATTATTTTTTATTAAACTAAATTTTTTATTTACATAAACATTTTTTGTAGGTAGCAATATTACAGGGAAAATAAAATAATAATAATCTCCATCCTAAAATAAAATTTCTCTTTCATTTTTTTAAAATTCAATTTGGGCCTATAATAAATCATTTTTTCCATCATCTGAATTTCCAAGTACATAATAAAGAAGAAATGCATGTTTTGTCTTTAAAAAAATTTTTTTCAAAAAATTTTTAAAAAATTCCTCACCACAATTGAAGAAATATTTCTAATTCTTGTACAATTTTCATCATCAAAATGTAACCATTCATTTTCATTTTGAAGATTTTTTACATTTGATGTATAATGTCCACTATTAAGTGTACCCGTATGGTTCTTTTAAAAGAAGGAAAATTTTATTTAAAAAATTTTTTAAATCCCAAGGCAAGTGGGTAATTTAGAAAAATTCAAAAAACAATTTTTAAACAATCTTAAAGGGTTCAATAGGCTTAGAAAAATTTGTATAAAATTCTTTTTTGAATTAAAAAAATATTTAAAAAATCCCAAAGTAAACCAAGGATATTAAAAAAAATTTTTAGAAAATAATCCCGAGGCGTGTCTCCATTCAAGATGCGTCAAAAGCATTTCAATTTTTTCTAACTTAAGAAAGCCCGAAATGTATCAAGGGTAAAGAAATCCAAGGGTCTCCAAGTAAATTAAAGTCCTTAAAAATTAGAAAAAAAAACGAACCGTTACAGCAAACAAATTATATTCAACTTTATTTGGTAAAAATGTTGATTTTGGATGAGTATATGGAGCCAAATCAAAATTTTCAATATCAAAATGTACATCAACTTCATTTTTAACAAAACGTCCCGAATTGAAAGAAAATCTTTTCAAATGAATTATTAATATTTTTGGTAAACTCCAAATTTTTGTTGTTCGTGTTGCTGTTTGTTTAGATTTACAACAAGGGCAATCCCAAGGTGTGTCTAGGGTCTTTAAATAATAGAAAAAAAATTTTTAAAAATTTTAAAAGTAAAAAAACCGTGGTAGAAAAGTGTGTATTTAGACATTCTTTTAGTCTAAAAATTCTTCCAGATTCCAAATTATTATGAGGGAGTTCAACACTAAAAAATAAGTTAAAGGGGATTAATTTTAAAAATTATTTTAGAATGAATGTGCGGCAAAATTTAATCCCCGGGCTTTCTTTCCAAAAGTCAAATAGGCCCTAGGATCTTAGCAGTCGAACAAGTCGAAAAATCCATCAGAATTAATCCAATTCGTCGTTAAAACCCTCAGGGCATTTAACCCGGAACTTCGGTACGGGATCCTAAAACAGAGATTTCCAGCACGGGATCCTGTCGTGACAATCCCGTACGAGCCCCCGTGCCATACTCTAAATAAAAATAAAACCTAATTTGATTTAATCCTTCAAAACAAGCACTTCGTGTAGAACATGATTTACATTGAAGAACAGAAACAGTCAACAACTAAAAAATTAATAAATTTTTTTAAACAACTTTAAAAAATTTTACATTGAAAATATCATTAACAGGAGATGAAGAAAAATGTCTAGATTGTTTAATATAATCTTCTGCACTAGCCATTAAATTTGAGCCATCATAATTTTGTTCAAAAGGACGCCTTTTGTCTACCTTTAAAAAAATCAGAAAAAATTTTGGTATTAATGTAGTAATGCCAAAATTTTGAAATTTCAAAGGCTTTTGGGTATTTGGCATTTTGATGGTTTTGCGGGTTTGGAATTTCGATGCTTTAACATTATGAATCACTACGGGAAATTTTTTTTTTATTAAAAAACGGCTTACTCTGTTAGTATCTTCATGTAAAGCATCCAATAAATAAATTTAAAATTCTTGTGCATCGTGTTGCTGTCTATCTGCTAATGTTGAATTTACTCTTTTTGCAAACATATCCTAAATAAAAAATTTTTAAATTAAAAAAAAAATTAAAAAATACCAGAAAAATGAATGGCCGAATTGAAGAATATTCACCAGACCATGCAATATCAATTAATGCAGAGAAACAACCAGAAATAATTCCTTTAGTTCCCAAAGAATTTTTCCTTAAAAATTAAAAAAAAATAAATTTAAAAATAATAAAAAATTAACGTGTTGATGCAATTGGCTACACAATGTCCTCTAAACAATTGAGAAAAGATTGGTGTATGAAAGAGTGCTTGAAGAGTAGCATTCATGAAGCAAGTATTCCCCATGTTCACTAAACCAGTATGGCCAGGTTTCTTTAAAAAATTTTTTTTATTAAAAAATCTTAAAAAATAACAAACAATTTTCATTCGTTTATATGCAGAATCTTCCATTATTCTTGCCAGAGAAAATTTGTAAACGCTTGAAAAGTAAGCAGAAGGCTCAATTCTAAAAATGAAAAAATACAAAAAATAAAAAATAAAAAAATACTGTTGAGATTGTTGAAGAATTCCTTTTTTAGTTGAACGATCTGGTGTTGTTGGTCTTGAAGGCTGTTGAACTGGGATAGGTTGTGTTGAATGTACTGGGACGACAGTTGCTGCCACTGAAGGTCCAGCACTGAAAAAAGAAAAAAATCAACTTAATACTTGTAACAAATACCTGGCAATACGGGCACCACCTAAGACTTGGGGATGTGCGAACCTCTTATTATTTATTCGTCCAAGATCAAGATTCTCCTTGTCACGAATTGAGCGGTCATCAACAGCAAATTTGTTGTCATTTTCCATTGAATCTATCGGCATTGTGGGAAGAGCAGGCTTCTTGGATCTATCAATAAGGGGCATCTTCTTATTTGTTGACGCAGTTTCGGGTCTTGAATCAAGAGAAAATTGAGCTTTGATCGAATTGTCTGTCCTTCGTTCATCATCAGTAAATACTAAAAATAATCAATTAAGTTTATGTTCTGTCTTTGTTTTCTTGGTCAAACAGCCAGTTTGGTTTAATTTAGTGTCTGTCCTCAACTCCCCTCTAATAGTCGATTCCACCAAATTTTTCGATTACCCAAAACCAGAAGAGTTCAGCTAAACGAAAATCTTTGTTTCTATGTGAAACAACGACCCTACTCTTCAATATTCCCAAAAAATATAAAAAAAACCTCTTTTCGGAGTAAGTTTATCAGCAAAAGATAATGAAGTTTTAAATTTTGTGCTTGACGGAACTTCGAGCTCATCATTAAAATCAGTCTTTTTAACGTCAAAAAGTTTGGACAAATTTGGATAAGTAATGTTTAGACGATTAACTTTAAGATAAAAAAATTTTAAAAAATCTTCTCTTAAAACCTCTTTTAGATTCTTCCATCCAAACAGAAAATTGTTCATCAAATGTCTTCTCAAATACAGGGACATTTTTTGTTGAGACAGTATAACATGGATATGACAATTCCCATCCTCTAAAACCATCTTCCAAAATTACTGGGGGATGTTTTAAACGATTTGTTCGATTATACTAGAAGGAAAAAACATTTAAAAAAATTTTTTTAAGAAAAAAACCGTTGTCAAAGCCTCGTATAAAATTTTTGTTTTTGTTCCATTTAGGTTAGTTATATCATCTAGATCGCCCAAAAGTATTACCAAATCAAATTGTGAAATTTTTTCCAAATATGGTCGAACACTTATATCCAATGTTTTTGTTATACAATGAAGTAGACTTCTTAAAAATCAAAAAATAATAAAGTATATGCCTTAATTAAAGCCATGGGCTTTATTAGAGTTGGCTGGCTTCTATTGGAGTTGGCTGGTTCCAATTAGAGAGCGTCTTTAGTGCCTGGGCACTAAAGACTAAAGAGTGGAGGGTGTTAGATGGTTTCTATTAGAGATGAGGATTTCTATCAGAGCTGGGTTTCTAATAGCCACGGGCTTAAGATTTTAACTAAAAAAGTTGAAAACAAACCCCAAAACGATAGTTGAAGGTTCTAATTGCACAACATTAATTTCTCCAATATTTAAATCACATTTTATTATTTGATTTTTGTTTTCTCTGTAATCCAAAATTAAAATACTAGCATTATTCTCTTCAACATAATTGAGCAAAGAGGTTGGTTTAATGAATAATTCAAGAAAATCTTGTTGTGAATCATTCAAATTAGGCTCTTCTATAAAAAATAAAATTTAAAAAATTAAAAGAAAAAAATGGCTCAAGAAATAGCAGGATGTACCCAAGCTCTACTCTACTGGTGTCACTACCTACAAGCATGGGGTTTTTATGTTTGAGAAAAAACCCCCAAAAATAACCTAGATTCTCAAAGATAAAAACTCTTTCCTTAAATAGACAATGTGTCCAAAACCTAGTGGTCTTGGTCATGGATATATACGGGGAATGGGATTGGTCATACATATCCACAAGTCAACCAACGCAGTTGTTTTGTAAGCGCAATCCGCCTTATATGGTGCTCTTCTACTAAAAAAATTTTTAAAGAAAAAAGAAAACCTCTAAAATTATTTTTATTCCTCTCAACTGCTAACAACGCATCATAACGCAATTTTAGATTTTCTGTAAGTAATTCAATTGAAGTAAACATATCCTTTGCTTTATGGTAGAAATCTCTGCCATTCTAAAAAAATAGAGGAAATTTTTTACAATTTTTATAAAATTTTCTTTAAACCTTTCCCTGCATAAAAACCTTGTCCTTTTTATCAAATATAAGTTGGTACAATTCCAATGCTCGCTGGTAACAAATATAAGCTTCTTCATCATTTCCTTCTAGTTCTGCCAAACGAGCTTGATTTTCGATTTGAGTAAAATGTTTGTAACACCTTGAGGAAATTTTAATTTTCAGCAATTTCGAATTAAAAAAATTTTTTTCTCGATTTTTCTATGAAAATTTTCCGAAAAATCCCACAGAAAAATTCTCAAAAAAAATTCTTTAAAAAATCAAACAAACCTGTACGAGTCAAGAAGCTTCAATTGGTAGATAAACTTTGGGTCTAGTTCTGAACAAAATTTCAACTCATCATAAGATTTGTATTTTAACGGTTTTTTGTTCATTTTGCCTGTCAAATCTAGCTGAAATAAAAATTTTTTAAGATAAAATCTTTCAAATATTTCAATAGAATACAAAATATTTTTTAAACAATAGAATTAAAATGCGCAATTTATTAAGTACAAAGCACTTTTTTCTTAGGTGAAATAAATTGAGTTTTGATTGGAATGTAAATTATAATATCAGTTTTTAAAAAAAAAACTAAAAATAAAATTTAAAAGGCAAAAATAGTCAAAAAATAGAATAGTTGAGCGGCAACAATTGCAGACAGATATTTGTAGATACCAACCAACAATTTTGATATGTAGTAAAAACAGTGACTAAACCATAAAATACCCAAGTGGTTCCCTGAAAAAAAAACTAGAAAGCTCCCAATGGTCCCGATTGTTCCAAGACCCTAATGGTTACAATAAAAGAATCCAGTGGGCTTTTGTTCCAAAAAAAAGGCCCCAGTAGTCTCAATGGTTCCAAGATTCCTGTAGTTCTCAAAAAAACCCCAACGGACATTTTTGCAATTCAATAGGTGCTGGAATCCACAAATATTCTCCCCGCAAATGTTCATTGAGCCCAAAAAATATTTCCCCATTATCTATTTATTTCAATCGCTTCTTCCCTTTAGATTCTAATTTAGCCTTTTCTTCAAGAAGACTATTAATTTGAGCTTCAACCATTTTTAAATCATGTTGATATGCAGAGTCAATTTCGTTATGTCGAATATTTAACTTTAAAATTTTTTTGTTACTTCTTAAAAATAAAAAATACACAAACCATGTCTTCATGATGTTTCAATTCTGCTTCTTTCTTATTAACTTTCAACAAAAATTCCTTTTGATGTTGCTCCTCAGATTTTTGAAACTCTTCCAATAATTCTTTTTGACGCTGAAAAAGGGCATTTTTTTTAATATTCAAAGTTATGATGCCGTAATCAAACACAAACGCCGAAATACCAAACTCCCATAAAATACGTCGAAATACTAAAATGTTGATTGTTAACAACCTTCCATGGAGCACCCTTCAACACCTTCACAAATATAAGTTGTGTAATTTGTCAGATTTTTGGTGAGTTTGGCATTTCGGCGGTTTGTAGTAAGGAACGCTCGCGTAATTATACAAAAATATTTTTAAAGTAAAAACCTGAGCAAAAGCTTCCATCATTTTAGGTCCAGCATCCCCATCACTCATTTTCATTTGTCTAAGTCTTTCACGTCGATAACGCTCATACAAAACATTGTGTGTCTGTTCTCTTAACGAATCCTGATTTGTACGTAAAATAGCTTCACGAAGACGTACAAAGTCGCAGTGCTCTTCATTTTCAACTTAAAAATTTCAAATTTAGAAAATACAAAAAATCCCAAGAAAACCTTCAACCATTCCCCAAGGATAACGTCTAGCTCGAACAACACGTCCATCCTCTTTAGTAACAAAATCAACACTTCCAACAATTGCAAACGGTAAAAGTGCATTCAATGCAGAATTTTCTTTACGGACTGTCTCGTCCTCAATTGGAAATTGGAAAATTTCAATTTTATGAGCTTTCAATTCGCTTATAATCTTTAAAAAAAATTTTTTAAATTAAAAAAAATTTAAAAAAACACCTTTTGCTTAAATCGAACCAATTCATCCTTACAAGCTGTGTCTGCTTTAGCAATTAAAGGTATGACGTTGACACGCTTAGATAATTCTCCAAGTGTCAACAAATCCAATGCCTTTAACCCGTGTCCAGTTGGAGATATCAAGTAAAGACATGCGTGGATTCTAGTGTCGTCAAATTTGGTCAAATTGCGTTTAACTTTTAATTCTTCTTTCAAATAGCCCTCAAATTGACTGTTAATGTAGTCGACAATGACGCGTGCACTGAAAAAAAAATTTTCTTAAAAACAAATGTTGAAAGAAACCTTTTCTCCTTGTCTAATTGGTCACCAAATCCTGCTGTCTCAACAACTCGAAGTTTTACACGGACTCCTCCTTCAGCAACATCTATTTATTATAAACAAAAATATTAGAGTCGAACTTTCCTATTCAGCAAGCCCGATATTTTTCTTACAAACAAAACCGGCGAGGTTTCCTGAGTAAACCACAAAACCCAAATTTTAATAAAATAGTGCAACCGAATTCAGGGCTATACCACATCTCGGCCCGGGTTCGGACTCCAAAAATATTAAAAAGAAAACCTAAAACTCTTGTACGTAATTCAACAGTATTCAATTCGTGGTCACACGGAGCAAATTCCATCTTCATATTAAAAAGTGATTCAACTAATGTTGTTTTACCAATACCAGTTTCACCAACACAAAGAAGATTGAATTGAAAACTTTTAAAAATTTGAGGGAATTTTGACGAAAAATATATAAATGTCCTAATAGAAGCTAATCCCGAATAAAAGACCACCCAGCACGGCTCATAATAAATAAATGCCAATACCCCAATAAAGGCCCATTCCTTGTAAAAACCCACTAACAAAACCTTTTAAAAAATAAGTGCCCGGGGGACATCTATTAGACCATTTACCCGTAAAAAAATTCTATACCCATTCTGTTGACATCTTCGTACAAATTGATATGGCAACGAATCAAAACCAACAAATCCTGTCAATTTTAATTCAGGTTCAGCATTGTTATTGGCATTAGCATCCCCATTCAAGCCTCTATTGTTGCTGTTATTTGCAGCATTTGAAGTCTTTTGTTGTTGTTTTTCAGTAACCGTTGTTGAACTTGACAGAGTAATTGGTTGTATTAGCGGCGCTTTAGGAGCATGAGAAGCCTTAGGAGATGGAACATTTGGTGGTTTGGTAGGTCGAATAACTGAGTCGGCATGTACTAAAGACATTTTTTCTAAATTTTTCTAAAAATCAATTTTAAACGAAAAAAAAGCAATAAAAAATATTTAATGATTTTTAAATTAATCATGATTAAAACAAATTTTTTTCCTTGAGATAATTTTTTATCAACATAGAAAAAATATAAATAGCCTTATGATTGAAATTACTCATTAAAAAACGAATCAATTAGTACTGAATCCAAAGGTCAGACTTTAATAAACAAAAAAGATAAAGGGACCTTTCAAAGTAGCGTTCTTTAAGAACCGGTTCAGAGTAAAGACTGGGAAAATCGTACAGGATATAACTGGATAATTGTGAAACTTTGATCGAGATCTCGTCTCGATCTGGGTTAAAAACCCTCTGGGTTAAAAAAATAAACATAAAAAACCATGTTGGAAGACCATCATCACTCATACATATTTCTTTTAATAATTAATATTATTTTATTGCCCCTCTGTCGCTAACAAACATATAAAATCAATTAAAGCATTCTCCAAATTGATTCATAGTACCCCCGAATAATTTTTAAATAAGTTAAAAAATACCTAACACACAATTAACATTCAAAAAACCAAAAAATATTTTCTCCAATTTTCTTCACATGATTTTTTAAAATATACAAATTTTGTTTTGTTTTTCTTTGCTTTTGAATAAAAAAAGTTTTTTCCATTTTTATCTGTTAGGATTATAAATCTTCTTTTTCAATCTTGAAAGACGCCAAGCATTTGGATCTTCATATTTATTATGTAAAGGTTCAATTTTTTGTCCTTTCTTAAACGATGATAATTTCATACTATCACCACGTTTAAAGAATGAAGGTGCCAAGTCGACTAACCATGTTGGTTCAACAGCAGTTACCTTTAAAAATTTTAATTTTAGAAAGAAAGTTTTCCGACACATGTCCAGTTTCTGCGTCCAATTAAAATTCTTATACGTCCAACAAAGGTCCATTCAAACATTTATGCGACCAATCACTCCTTTATGCGTCCAATCATAATTATAATCCAATAAAAGGACGCATAAAATAAAATTTAATTGGATGCATAAACTGTTTATCGGACGCATAAAAGTGCATTGGACGCATAAACTAGAAAAGAGCCAATTTTTAAAAAATATAAACCTCTCTCATATATTCTTTAGTTGTTTGAACCAATTCATGATAAACAACCCATTCAGGTTGATTTTGAAACAGACTGCTTGATGGATGTATATAGACAGTTTGTCCATCAACAATTGTTCGATAACCTTCTTGAGGATCTCTTTTCGCAGCATTTCTAAAAAATCCAGAACATATAGCCCTTTGAATTCTTTGTGTGTCACGACCAGCACTTTTTATTTCTAATTTGTGTCTATCCATAATACTTAAAAGTTGTTTTCTTATATCCTTTAAGAAAGAAAAATTTTTTTTGATAAAATTTGAAAATTCAAAAAAAAAATTCCTAAAAAATTCATAAATTTCCAAAAAAAATTTTTTTAATTGAAAAAATTTTTCATAAAAAATTTTAAAAAATTTCCAAAAAAATTTCGAAAAATTTTTTATGAAAAATTTCAAGAAATTTCGCAAACCTGTGCTCTTTTTAATGTTCTAACTTGTATAAAATTTTCAAAACACCATTGAGGTGAAAAATGATGATGTTTCCAAGCATTATAAACGGCAAGTAACGTACAATGATCACCTTTTTTAATTAAATTTTATAAATTTTTCAAAAAAATATCCAAAAAAACCTTCAGGTTGATGAAATTTTGATTTTTTCTCATCAGCCAATTCTTGTTTTTCTTTTGGTCTATAAAATACATTTTGTACTGATAACATCGATACAATAGTTAAAATATCATCAGCACAGCCCAATTCAACAGACATTATTAACATTTTTGAAAGTGATGGTTCTAATGGAAATTCTGCCATCTACAGAAACGAAAATTATGATAAGTAATAAAACCATATCTTTAACCATAAAATCTCTAATAGAAAGCCCGGGCATTCTATTTTTCCATTAACCTTCAAAAGGAGGATCCTATTAGAGAGCATTCAATTGGATAGGGTCTACGAAAGGAACATTCTATTAGAGAGGCATTCAATTAGAGAGGGTCTCCAAAAGAACATTTAATTAGAGAGGGCCATTCTGACTTCCAATCGTAGTCCGAAAGGAGGGGGCGTTAATTAGAAAGGGATTGGTTTTATATTTTTCAATCACCTTCAAAGAGAGTATTCAATTAGAAAGAGAAGGCATTCAATTAGAGAGGGAGAGGGCATCAAACTAAAGGGGCATTCTATTATAGATTTCACGGTATCTTTAAAAAAACTCAAACAAACCCTTCTTCCCAATCTTGTTAAAAGACCATCTGGATCAAGTGCTGATAATTGATAAATTTGAAAAAGTGCAGTAATCATAGCTTCAGATGGCGGTGCATCCATAAAATCAAATTCTATCAAATTATTAATTCCCATAGCTTTAAGTTGTAATAATGTGCTAGCTAAATTTGTTCTTTGAATTTCTGGGACTGGTGTTGGTAACATTTCATCACTAAAAAATTTTTTTGCAAAAAATTTCTCGCAAATAAAAAAAAATTTCAATCCTTACCGATAAGCTCTTTCAGTATATAAACGATAACATTTTCCTGGTCCAGTTCTTCCAGCACGCCCAGCACGTTGTGCTGCTTGTGCTTGTGATATTGGTGTTACAACAAGTGAATCCATTCCAGATTTTGGATTATAAATTTTTTGTTTAACAAATCCTGGATCAACAACATAATAAATTCCATCAATAGTTAATGAGGTTTCTGCAATGTTTGTTGCTATTACAACCTTTAAAAAAATTCTTAATTTTAAAATTCTATTTTTCGAGGGCGTCTTGCAATGTCAAGACATTAAAATGCCAAACCCCCTCTAAAGCCATTGAAATGCCCCAAAATAATGGAAATCCGCTGAATTCAGTGTTTGGCTGTTTAGTACTTAAATGTTGTGGCATTTCAATTTCGATGCTTTGGTATTATTGACGTTTTGCATTTCGAAGGTTTGGTATTTTAGGATGAAAATTATTTTAGAATTTCAAAAAAATACCCTACTTTTCGAGTTCCTGGCGGTGCTGGATCAAAAATTCTTGTTTGCATTTCACTTGGAAGTGCACCATAAACAGGTAAAATAATTAATTCTGGAACATCTGGACCCAACTTTTTCATTCTTTCATAAAGTATTTCACAAGAAGTATCAATTTCTTCCTTAAAATTCAAAGTAATTTAAATTCAAAAAATCAAAGAAAAAAAACCTGTCCAGTCAAAAAAAGCAAAATATCACCAGGAGGTTCAGTTAAATGTATTTGCATAACTGTAATATGTGAAGCATCCAAATAATCAGTTTCAGGCTCTTTTGTATATAAAATTTCTACTGGGAAAGTTCTTCCAGGTATACGAAATATTGGTGCATTGAAAAAATATTCAGAAAATTTGACTTGCTCCAAAGTTGCGCTAAAATTAAAAAAAAATTTTTATGGGGAAAATTTCGGAAAATTTGTGGGGAAAAATTTTTTCAAGTCAAAAAAATTTCGAAAAAATTTTTCCAAGCCAGAAAAATCTCAAAAAAAAATTTTAAGTAAGGAAAAATTTTTAAAAATTTTTTGAAAAATTTTTGCCTCAAAAAAAATAACAAAAAAACCTCGTCACAATCAATTTTAATTCAGGCCTCCTCTTTACTGTAGTTTTTAATAATCCAAATAACACATCAGTATTAATTGTACGTTCGTGAGCTTCATCAAGCATTATACACGAATAAGATGACAAATCTGGATCGAGAAGACATTCACGCAACAACATTCCATCTGTCATGTATTTAACTATTGTGTCTTGACTAAAAAATTTTTTTAATTTGAAAAAATTTTTAAAAAGTAATACCATGTACAATCTTCAAAACGAATGGTATATCCAACTTCTTGTCCAAGACGACAACCAAATTCTTCACTTACTCGTTTTGCGACAGACATGGCAGCAACACGTCCAAAATAAAATTAGTATATAAATGAAAGTGGATAGTCTTCAGGGACGTGCCGTTTCGCTCTTTGACGAATTTTTTTATGTGTTTAGTATTTCGACGAATTTTTCGCCTTTTTCGGTTTCGCTTTTAAAATCCGTTTCGGCAAAATCTTGATACTCTTTTACTATCAAAAAATATTTACCTTGGTTGTGTACAACCTATTTTGCCTCTATTTGCATATCCTGCTTCAACCAAATATTGCGTCATTTGTGTTGTTTTACCCGAACCTATAATAAATTTATATAAAATCAATAATACTTTAAATTGTTTAAAAAACCTGTTTCTCCAATTACAATTAAAATTTGATTATCATGTATTGCTTGCAAAAGTGCTGATTTTAAAGAATATATTGGTAATGATTCGCGTTGTTCTTTTATAGTCATTGTTGTCCTCTTGCCATAAGTTGCTTTACCTCCTGCTGTAACGTGTTTTAACCATTCTGGCATATCCTAGAGAATTAAAAATTTGCATAAAAAATAAAATTGACATTTTCAAATTTCCGGGTCTGATACAGAGGTTTTTACTTTCAGCTGATACGGGTTGGGGTTTCCAGATTAAAACCTCGAAAAATCGGGAACCCGACGAGCCTAAGCCCAATCAATGGTCGAACTCTTTAGAAAAATTTTACCCTTTTTTGAAGTGATAAATCTTCATCATCATCTTCCGTTCGTGTAGACGAAGCTGCCATAGGATCATGAATTCTAGACCGGCCTAAACCTGACCGTTGTCTTTCAGCATCCTTTTCTCTTTGCATTTGTATTTTGACATCACGACGTTCTTTTGACAATGCTCCCTGAATTGAAAAGTTTTTCTCAAAGAAAAAATGTAAAAAAAAACCTGCATTAAAGCAGCTTGGGCCAAACTACCATCAGGATTCTTTACAACTTTAACAGGTTCCAAATCAATAGCATGTCTTCCATAACCACCAAGAAAAGGTGGATCATCTTCCACTAACTCAATTTCAATATCTTCGCCATCACT